CAATTAATTGAAAATCTCATGAAATTTTCTTTTTATAATCCATAAAACAGGTCTGGGGGCAGGGTGTTCCAGAACCTTCCGGGAGGTTGGAATGGCAAGTGTGGGCTGGTGGGGAGACAGCGGTGTCTGTTCCCACCTGGGCACGTCTTGGATGCCTTCATGCCCTTCAGCCACCCACCTAGGTGGCTGCCTCTCGGGGCTGGGAAGGGACAGTTCTGCACACCAACGTCCTGCCATGAGCGGACCCCTGATTTACTGCCCGAGGTCACTGCTCCACCTCTGGTCCAGAGCTGGGTGCTGGGGACACAAATGTGACCCTGAGAGTGGACGCTCACAGATAGGTGGGGAAGATGGAGCATGTGGACATCCTTAGGGTCCTGGGAAGCGGAGCCTGGGGCTAGGGGACCCTCATGGTGCCTCGCCCGCTCTTGGCTGGACTGGGACGGCTATGCTCACTGGGGTGGGAGAGTGGCCGCTTGTGGTCTTGGGGTACCAAGGACACACTGGGAAGAGTGCACATCGTGAGAGCCACGAAGGTCGGTGCCGCCTGCGCCCTCCCTGCTGTGCCACCGCATCCTGGCACGTGGACGCGGTCACCCCCTGGGTCCCTGCAGTGGCTGGGGGCTGGCCGTGGGTCCAGAAGCCCAATTCAGACCCAGACTCTGGCAGCCCTGCCTGAGAGTGGGCAGGACAGTCCCCAAGTCCGGGGTCTCAGGAGGCAGGTGGGGTGGGGACGAGAGAGGCCCTCAGGCTAGAGCTCAGGGACAGTGAGGACGATGGCTGGGCTCAAGCCGAGGACCTGGGGAGGGCCCTGCGAGCCTGTCCCGGTCCCCAGCGCTCACGTTCCCGCGCGCTCAAGCTCACGCCACGTGGCCGCTGGGCGCCTGCGCACAGCCCTGCGCTCCGCAGGGCAGCGGGGGCCAAGGGCGGAGCTGCAGAGGGGCTGACCGACGGAGGGAGGAAGGAGCGAGGGGACCCTGGATTCCAGGTGGAGGCAGCAGTGTCCTGGGGTGGCCGGAGGGTGCGGAGAGAGGCCACCCAGGGAGAAGGACAAGCCCAGGTGGGGCTGGGAGGAGGAGGCCACCTGTGCCCATCTCCTCATCAGCCCCTGGGTGGCCCAGGCAGGCCCTGGAGTGGGCAGAGGTGGACCTGGGAGCCCCCTGGACTGGGCTGGCCCCATCACTCCTCTTTCCTGGGGGTCTGTAGGGAGAGGGCTGTTCCAGCAGAGCAGGTGACAGGGACCTGGTTCTGCGCATCTGAGCAGGGGCTCTGGGCGATTGGCTTCCTATCCTGAGTCCCGGCAGTAGAATGGGTCAGAGGAGGGGACAGAGCAGGGGGCGGTCAGCCCAGGTCTGACCTGGCTGCGAGCCCCTCCCCTGCCTGCTACAGGCCCCTGCACCTCCCCAGGCCTGAAAACCGGCACCTGCAGGCTGCAGAGAGGAGGCTCCCCAGTGAGAAAGCTTTGGGGGCAGCTCCCCGGGCAGCCAGGAGGATAGGGACCGGGAGGACAGCACCAGGTGGCAGAGTGCAGAGCACAGGGGAGCCACAGCAAGTTCAGGAGCAAGGCAGGGGCACCGTCAGACCTGCATGTCACATGATCCTTCTCTGGGCCCCACAAGGGCCAGACTGGCAGGGGAGACCCTACCTGGCCTGCTCATGCCTTGGGCCAGTTCCCCTCCCTCCTGCCTTTGGGGTCCTTGGAGAACCTGCATCTGACCTCATTCCATGTCCCAGAGAATCCTGGACACTCCCCACCCAGCACTGCCGTGCCCCTCGCCCACTCTGGCCTCTGCTCACCCTCAGCCTGTCCTGGCAGTGTCCTCCCTTGGACTCTCCGCTTATGTCGCCTCCAGTCCTCCTTCCAGGACTGCTCGCTGGACGCCAGCCCCCAGCACGGTTGCCCCTGGTCTACACCTGGCTTCACCCCCAACCTGCTGTGTGACCCTGGGCAAGCTGCTCAGCCTCTCTGGGGCTCTGCTGATTCATTCCATACCAGGGAGGTGACTGTAAAATTGGAGGAGGTGACACATGTTGTGAGATTCACACAAGGACCAGCTCATGTCACCTCCCTGGACAGACTCTCCCTCAGCCAGGTCCTCAGGTACAGGGAGCCTCTGGTCCCACAGCACCTGAGACCTGGCCCCATCGGGTGCACCCTGGTCCTGTCCATCCTTCCTGCTGGAAGCTGCCGGCCTCCTGCTGCCCGCTCTGCCCCTGGTGGCTCTGAGTTGGGCCTGAGCATCTGAATACCCAGCCCTGCCCACTCTGGTCCCCTTCAGGCCTGGCCTGGCACGAGCAGGACAAGAGGCCATGCAGATGGGCAGGGCATTGTGTTCTGGGCAGCCTAGGACAATCTCTCCCCTGGGGTCCTCGCTCTGCCACTGGCTCTGGGCCCGTCGTCCAGGGACAGGGAGCACTTTAACCTGGGCGATTATGTGGGTGCCAGGGCCAGGTGTGGGGTGAGCCGAGTGGCCTCTGCCAGGCCCTGCGCCCCGGCCTCTCCTCCTGTGCCCTGACCCGTGGGCAGCCCCCCGACACCTCCCGGTCTCTGCTCAGGCTGCTCCTCCTGCCTCAAGTGCTGTCTCCCGGTTGGCCGTCTCCTCTGGGCCCTGGGGACCCTCTCTGGCCCTTCCTGATGCCCCCCCCCAGGTCCCAGCCCCTCCCCTGTTGGTGTGGCCACACATGGCCATCTCCACCGAGTGGCCCTGTCCTGGACTCTGGTTGGGCCATGCTGTCACTAGAAGTGGGCTTCTCGGGACGCTGTCTTGGTCCCTGTGGGTTGTGTGGCTCCAGGCCGGGGTTGTCACTTGGTGCTCTGTGGTGTAACCGGGCCAGTGTCCCAGCAGGCACGGGGAGGGGGGGTAGTGTTCCTTGATTAAACGTGACGCTTAGTCTCAGCCAGGCCCTGGTCCAGGGACCAGAAAACAGAAATGAGCCAGACCCCGACTCTGACCTAAGGGACTCGGGAGCATCCACAGGGGACAAAGACCTTCTAGGGGACGATGTGGGGACATAGATCTAGGATGGCTTCTAGGAACCCAGGCCCCGTCATGGTGACAGGGGCTGCAGCCGGAGGCCACAGAGGAGGTCAGTAGCCTTCATGAGGGGCGCTGCAGCCCCGCAAAGCCCCGCGTCTTGCCCCATCGTGCCCTGCCCTGCCCGGGGGCCTGCTGGGACCTGGAGGTGACTCAGGCCCACAGTTACACAGGGGCTCAGGGAGAGGACGAGGACCTGCAATCCAAGTGGAGCTTGTGATCAGATGGCCTTTGGGACAATCTTATGGGGCTGGAGATCACAGACCAGAGGATCTTGCTGTCCTACCAGCTGGGCACAGGGCCCAGGCACCCTTCCTGGGGACCTGCTGGCCAGGTGTGACTGGCCAGGGCCCTGAGGCTCTTCTGCTGGACAGCTGACCCACCTCCTTCATTTCTGTAAAGACGCGGGACCCTGTGTCTCTTTGTGTCTCCAGTGTGACCCTGGGCACCTCGACCAGCACAGGTCACAGCACTCAGACCCCCCATTGGCGTAGAGCCACCTCCTGCAGGACCAGCCGGGGTCTCCCATGTCCCTCCCTCCACCTGCTCCAGCCACCTCAGCTTCCTCGTTGTCCCCTGAGCTCCAGGGGTGGCTCTGGCTCAGGACGGTGGCACCTGCTGTCCCCTCTATTGGAGTGCTCTTCCTCCCCAGCTGCAGACAGCAACTCAAGAGTCAGCAATTTAAGGCGGCCATTGCTGGCCAGGCCTCCCAGCCTGGCCAGGCGCCCTCCTCCCACACGATCCCACCGGCCTGCAAGACGGCCCTGCTGTGGAGCCATTTGGTCAGGGTAGAGACTGGAGGGCGGACAGTGGTCTTGCAAGAGGACAAGGGGGTGGGACATTCCCAGGGCCCAGCAGCACACCAACTCCTCGGGGTTTGTGGAGACGGCCCTGTTGCTGGATCGCACACTCGCGAGCCCGGGCCCCTGGATTGCTGTGTCTCCTGGCCACATCCAGAGGCCACGGGTGGTGACTTGTCCTCATGCATCTAGGTTTGTACTCTTACTCTGTGACACTCGCACGAAGACAAGTCACCCAACCATGCACATCTTCTGCAGGGAGTGTCCACCCCATTGTCCAAGGCTTTGTAAACTCGCTGTCTTTTTTTATTGGTACCAGAGCTTGAACCCGGGGTCCCTAACCACTGAGCCACATCCCTGGCCCTTTTCATTTTTTATTTTGAGACAGGGTCTCGCTGGGTTGCCCAGGGCCTCGCTAAATTGCTGAGGCTGGCCTCAAACTTGCGATCCTCCTGCCTCGGCCTCCCTAGTCTCTGGGATCACAGGCCTGTGTCACTGCCCTGGCTCACTGTTTGGATGTCCCCGTGAAGTTGGCAGCTGGAGTCTCTGGGATTCCCATCTGCTCTGTTCACTGAGGTTCCCGGGGCCTGCCTCGGCTAAGGCAGGCAGTGACAGACCTGTCACAGGAAGGAAGGGAGGGGGAGACGCTTTCCTAACTCCTGTCCTGGGGAGAGGAGCGAAGGGGAGAGGGATGTTCTTTGGCCTGGACCTGCTCGCATTCCAGGGACAGTGGCCTGGCTGCCCCCCTGGCTGTTGGTTTGGTTTCAGGCCCCTGCCCCACCTGGACCTCCGTCCCATTGCTGAGCAAGCTGAATGAGTCCCCCAGCCCAGGGCCACGTGGCTGGGGGACAGTCCCACCCATGGGGCCTGAGGCAGGGCCCTGGACACAGTCACATATTTATCAGCAAGTACAGGAGGAGGGGCTCCTAGCAACTCGTGTCTCGGCCTCAGCCTCCCCTTCCCTCTCCGCACTTGGCCTCTGGGTCCTGCCTGAGGAGGATGTGCTGCTGACCCAGGCAGGAGCCGGGGCTGGGTAGGGTCACCTACCCTTCCCTCCTGGCAGGCCTCATGGCACCCCGTGGCTGGCGGAAGTCACCCCAGGGCTCCCTGCTCAGGGGGACACAGCCCCGCCCCCTGCAGGCCACCCCCCATGGACAGACCTCAGTGGGAGGACACCTTTATTGTCAGGTAGGGGAACAATGGCAAGGCCCCGACCGGCCCTCCATGAGGACAGGGGTGGCCCCGTGGGGAGGGGCCATGAGTCGAGCAGAACCCGGCTCAGCCTCACGTGAGCACCGAGAGCGACGGGAAGGCCACTCCTGCCGTGGGGACACTGCCCCGGGTGGTGCCAGCACCTTCCATTCAGCAATTCCTTTGGTGGCGAGTCCCAGGTCCTGGCCCAGCAAGAGGAGCACCGGGGCTGGCGGGTCACAGGAGACTGGGCGGGAGGCTGCCAGGACCCGGCCTCTGCCCTGGAGCCTGCCAGGAGACCAGAGGGCGGGAGCACCGTGCCCCGGCTGCCCTCTGTCCAGTTTGCCAAGGGGACACGAACTCGAGGTGTCCCACAGGAGCAGCAGACCCCGGAGATGCCCAGGGAGGCGGGTGGACGGGGGCTACTGACCCACCTGTGGGGACAGTCCCTCGGTGCTCCCTCCTCCTGGCTCAGGGTGGCCAGGGCCTGATGGGGGGTGGGCTCAGGGAGGTGGGGCCATGGGCCATGCCCGCCACAGACCCCTACTCCTGACCACATCGCCCCCCCTCGCGGTCCCTGGCCCATGTGACAGTCGGTTCATTCAGGGTCCCCTGGGTTCCAGAGCTCCGGCCAGGCACAGCTGCCTGCCTGCCCGAGGAGCCGGCCAAGCCCCAGGGAGAAGCTGAGGAAGGGCCAGGCCGTGTCTCCAGTGCTGTGTGGGCCCTGCCTGTCCCTCCTGGGCCTGGCCTGGTCCCCTGCTCCCTGGCTGCCTCAGGAGCGGCCTGGCCTGACCCTCCTGTCTGGCCTTTCTCACGACGGGGGAGGAGACACAGTCCAGAGGACACCGGGCTCCATCCTGTGCCAGCCAGGACCCAGGACATGGGTAGAGCCTCATCCGCGCCTCGTCCCGGGTCAGTGGGTGAGAGCTGGCTCCTGAGGATCAGGTGGGCACATGGGGCAGCCCCATGCCAAGGCCCAGGCAGCAGGGGTTCAGTCACCGCAGGCTCTGGTCACCCCAGGCCCCCTCCAGCAGGCAGCGGGGGACGAGGACAGGGGTGAGGGGCCTCTGCTGCGCGTGCTCATCCCCTGCAGACCCCACCCTGACACCATCTGTCACTAAGGCCCCAGGGCCCGGGAGCCAGTGTCCCTCACAGTGTCCGAGCCTGGTGGCCAGGCCCATGTGGGACATCTTCAGGAGCCAGCAGCAGCACTGGCCCAGGTCCGGGCTCGTCCTGGGGAGCCGGGCCGTCACTTCCTGCCACTGGTCCGGTCAGCGCTCTTGTGCGCAGGGTCGGGACCCAGCAGGGCAGCGAGGGCGCCGTCGGGTGGGGGGCCGCCCCGCTTCATCTTGAGGTTGGCTCTCAGGGCCGCGTCCTGGCTCGAGCCGCCCTCAGGGGAGGCCTGGGGATCTGGAAGGAGGGAGAGAGGGCAGGCTGGAGACAGCCTTGGTGCGCTTGGAGGCACCTAGGCTGCCAGCACCGGCCGTGGGACAAGGGGACCCATTCATCCGTCTGTCCATCTGTTCATCCATTCATCCCCATCCATCATTCCTTCCATCCTCTGTCCATCCATCCATCCATCCATCCGTCCTTCTGTCTGTCCATCCGTCCATCTGTCTGTCCACCCATTACTCATTGATCCTTTAACAAACCCTGAGGAGTCGGCCCGAGGCACTCCCCGTGTGCCAGGGAGACACGCAGCCGTCCCAGCCTATGGGGGAAGGGAAGGTGGGGACAGGAGGCCCGGGGAAGGCGGGAGCCAGTGTTCCAGGAGAGACCCAGTGGGCAGGGTGAGGGGACGGGAGCCTGGTGACCAGCTGTGGTCCGCCGGGGCCCTGGGGTGCTGGGAAGGGTCTCAGGAGCCAGGCTGGCACACTGGCGGTCCCCACTGGGGGACCCTGAGCAAGGGAGGGGCAGGGGCAGGTGACACTGGCAAAGACCACCTGATAGCTGAGCGGTGGGGTCACTGAGGCCAGGGCCACCAGAGGCCTGAGGACAGCAGCTAGTGGGGGAGGCCAGGGGGCGGCGGGCGCTCACCGTGGATGCCGATCATGTGCTCCAGGATGAGGACCCTCTCGGCCAGGATCTTCAGCGCCTCCCGCAGCTGCTGCACCCCCTCGCCCTGCCAGGAGGGAGGCAGGGTCAGGGCGAGTCGGCGGGGCCAGGGCCGGCTGGATCCGGGGACACGCCTCCGGCCTCGCTCCTCAGCCCCCTCCTCTGGCTCCTTGCCACCCCTGTGCCCACCTCGGGAGCCTCACTCCCGCCTGCTCCCTGCTCTGGTCCTACAAGGACCTCCAAAGGTCCTGGCCCAGCCTCGCCCACAGCTGCCTGCCTCCAAGGCTGAGGTCCCTGCTCAACCAGGTCTCCACCTGGGCTCCACCTGGTTTCCACCTGGCCTCCTCCTCCAACTGGCCTCTACCTGGCCTCCTCCTCCTCCTGGCCTCCACCTGGGCTCTACCTGGCCTCCTCCTCCACCTGGGCTCCACCTGGCCTCTGCTTGGGCTCCTCCAACTGGCCTCTATCCAGCCTCCACCTAGGCCTCTGACCAACACTCCTTCAGCTCCAGGCCCCAAACCCCTCCTCCTGCATCTGCCCCTGCCACCCACCAGCCACGTGTCCCTCAGCCCACCAATGCCCGTGGGCACGTCTGTTCCCAGAGGAGTCTTGTCCCTTTAGAAGGGCCCCTCAACCCCTCGTGGACTGGTCCCCATCCCGCGTCCCAGGTCCGGTGGCCCTGACCCTGGCAGCCCCGCCATCTGCCCTCTGCCCTGCAGTCACGGCTGCACTGGGCTGGGCACTGCCCAGGGCAGGGACCCCAGCACCAGGCCAGGTGTGAGGACAGGTTGGAGGGTCCGCCCTCTCCCTGCAGCGCTGTGGCCGGCCACGGGAGCCTGCTGACCGCCGTCCGTACCTCTGTGGCCGCCGCCTTGTCCCCCTCTGCTCCCTTCACTCCAGGTTGGCCCTAGGGAGCAAGCCACACGGTCACCCGGGGCAGACCTCGGGGCAGTGAGCCAGGACAAGAGGGGCCCCGCGACTCCTGCTCCGGGGTGAGAGGAGCGGGACAGGTGGTGCCCAGGGCACCCTGCAGAGCCTGGCATGGAAGGCCTCCTCAGCCTCCGGGGAGGCTGGTTCCCGCTGGCCACAGTCCCTGCAGCCCACTCCGGGCCCACTCCAGCCCACTCTGGGCAGCTCTGATGTGGTCTGTCCTGGTCCCTCCCGCTGCCCGCTCTGGCTGGGAGACCCTGCACCCGGGCCCACTGCCCTGGGGCCACAGCTCAGCCCACACTTACAGCCGGTCCCTCCACGGGCTGCCCACCAGCCAGGCCCTGCAGAAACCAAATGGAGCGCGTGAGGCCTGCTGCCCAGGGGCTCCCATCCCCCACTTCAGCCCGCTGTGGGTCCCCAGTCTGGGAGGAAGACAGCGAGAGCAAATGGGAAGGCCAGGCCTGAGGCCTTTGGGTCCTGGAGCCCCGTCCAGCTGGCCAGGACCTGGGCCTCGGCTGGGCCTTGGGTCCTCTCACCTGTGCACGGGGACAGGGCAGCAGAGGGCCACTGCCCCTAGTGACCAGGATGCCGCCTGCCTTCCCCCTCCTGGAGAGGCCACAGTCCCTCCCACCACTCAGTCCACGCCAGAGATGGCCCCTCCTTACCTGGGATCCTGGTGCTCCTGGGGGTCCCGGGGGGCCGTGTGGTCCGGGGGGACCTGTGGGCAGAGCCAAATGCTCGCGAGGCCTCCCTCCCGCTGCCCCAGCCCAGCTCCGTCCACTCTTCTGCCTCCACCTGCTCCCCTCGGGCTGGCCAGGGCCGCCCAGTCCTAAGAGCTGGAGACCAGGCTGCGACGGCCATCCCTGCGGGCCTGGCACTCGGCCCGGGAAGCCCAGTGCACGTCCTGGAACCCAGGACCTGGCCCTCCTTGGCCATCCATCTGTCCGGAGTCCCAAGGACAGCCTACTGCCCACACGCCTCACCAGAGCGAGCTTCAAGAGGCGCACGTCCCCTCGGTCCTGCTGGGGCCCCAGGTGCCCGGCCCTCTCCGCCCACCCCAGCTGCCCGCCCCCAAGGCTCCTGTGCTGCTGCTCCTCCCAGAGCCTCCCTTCCCTCCGCTGGCCCGAGGTCCCTGCCCCACTGCTCTCTCCCAGGCTCTGGGACACAGCGCTGCCTCCTCCAGGAAGCCTTCCTGGCCTGTCCCCCTGCGCCCAGGTCCATCCTTGACAGGGACCCACGGCCGAGGTGGGTTACGTGACAGATGCCCGAGGGTCAGGCTGGGTCTCCTGCACCTGCACCAGGAGGGGCTTCTGACGCATCCCTGCCCTGCTCGGGAGAGAGGCCCCTGTCCCCGTGGATGGACCTATGCCTCCCAGGCTGCCGGGACCCATGGCTGGGCTGCTCAGTGGGGCTGTCCCCAGGTTCAGGGAGGACATTTGGGTAAAGAGTGACCTTTACGTGACCAGGTGCGTATCAGGGTCAGCCTGGCCTCAAAGCAAACGCCCTCCCTGGCCTGAGCGCCCGAGACACGGCAGGTCCTGGTGTCCCTGCGTCCTCCTCCTGATGTCCCTGTGTCCCTGGGTGTCTGTTCCAATGTCACCTCTAGGATCATCCCTTCCCTCCTCACCAGCCCGCCTGTCCCTGTCCCTCTCTCACGTCCTATTCACGTGACTTAGGACGTCGGCACTTGGCCTGCCCTCTGCTGGACGGTGGGCACCGGCCGGGATGGCACCTCGCAGTGAATCCAAGGGTCCCGGGGACCTGGCACATGGCTCAGTGTGCAGTAAGCACTCAGGGGACATTTGTCCACTGCACAGAGAGCCGGTGAGAGACAGCTGGGTAGCTGGGCTGCCCATTCCCTCCAGGGCCTCCACTGCCCCTCCAGGGGGCCCTGGGTGTGGCCAGCACACAGCTGGTGAGCAGGGTTGGGGGCAGTGGCCAGTCTGCCCTGTCTCACGCTGTCCCCAGGGAGGACGTGTGGAGGGTGGGGTCAGGCCAGGCCTGGAGCCAGCTTCCCGCCAGGTGACCGCAGGCTCTGCTCCCTGTGTCCTGCCGGGCCAGCTCCCCAGGCCCTGGGGCCACCCCTGGGCCTGGCTTCCTCATGTCCCAGAGCCCCTCCCACCCGGGAGACAGGCAAGGGCAGCCTGGGGCCACTTCCTCTGGTGTCCTGTTCAGATCACTCGAGGCTGGTGTGTCCAGTCTCCCAGGGGAGCTGCCCCTTCACCTCTGGCCACGTGACACTTGGGGAGGCCCCTTCCACTCACCCGGGGGGCCGGGGGGACCTCGGGGCCCTGGGATGCCCGCCAGCACAGTGTCCACCACGGCAGGTGCCAGCTGGGCGTCTCCATCTGTGGGAAGAGATGGCCACTGGTGACCACATAGGGCAGAGCCTGCCACACCTGGAGGCTGGGCCTCGGGGGCCCGTCAGCCTCCCGGAGTGGGCTCCTCTTCTCCCTCAGCAGCCCTGGCACTGCGTCCCTCCAGTCATAAGTGCCCAGGAGGCTGGGCAGTCAGAGGGCAGGGGAGCTAGCAGCCTCCCCAGGAAGCACCGACTCCTTCTAGAACATTCCAGGCCCTCCAGACTTGGGGTCTGCTGCTCACCCATCCCTACTGCACGGGCCCGGCCTCCCCAGGGAATCCCCCCACTGCCCTCTGTCACCGAGGTCACATACTGGGGTGGGGGTGGGGGGCTAAGTGTCTTCCTGGTGCCCTGCAGGATGAGACCTGTCCCATCCCCAGAGCCAGACCTGGGACAGGAGGCACCTGGCCCCACCCTCCACACAGACCCACACTGTCCACAGGCCTCTTAGGGGCGCCCAGTCCTGAGGCCAACCCCTGAGCACGCGGCCCGTCCCAAACACACTCCCCTCCAGGAAGGCCACCTCCCTTGGGGACCCCAAAGGGCTCTGGGCTCAAGAGGTGACCTTGGCCCTGTGCCCAAGACAGCCCTTAGCTGGCTCCTCTCAGTGCAGGCTGCTGACCAGAGGCCACTGTCCAGAGGGAAGCTGGTCCACAGACTGCAGGCCCGGCCCCTCCCTGCCGTTGGCCCAGCCCTGTACCCCGAGGGCAGCTGGGCCCTGGTCCTGGCACAGGCACTGGCCAGAGCCGCTCCATCAGGGACTGTGACCATCCTACTCTATGGGAGTGGACGCTGAGGCTGGCAGGGGTCGGTCATACGAGGGCTGAGCTGCCCCAGGGCCCAGAAGCCAGGCAGGAAGGTGGCTCAGGTGTCTGGGACAGCTGACCCAGAGGTGCCACCCTGCCCACAGAAGCCATCCGCCATCCTGTCCTCCCAGAGTGTAAAGTCACCCCATTCCCCCATCTTAGACCCCTCCCCCCCCCGCAGGCGCCAGGTGCTCAGCCAAAGAGGACACTCCTGGGCACCAAGGGCTTCTGCCGTCTGGCCAGCTGGGGCTTCCCTGTCCCCCCACATCTGCCTGCCCCCACCAGGAAGCACATGGTCTGTGCAGTTTGGGGTCCCTCTGCCCCAGCCCAGCCCCCGGGGCCTGGGGGAGCCAATTTTGCTCACAGCTGAGTCTGACATGTAGTAGGTACTCAGTAAACACTTGTCACATGACCTACAGCCAAGGGACTTGTAGGGGAAATGCAGCCAGGGACAGCCACCTGGGACAGCCTGGCCGGGGGTGGGGGGGGAACTGGGGCCAGGCCACAGGCAGTGGCCACCAGGAGCTGGAGGCAAGGGGCTGAGCCCTGGGGTGGGGACAAGCCATCCTGGGGCCAAGAGTGAGGCTGGGACCGGCACCAGCCCCCAAGGGACACTGCCAACACCAGTCCTGGCTCCCAGCTGATTCCCTTCCTGGTAGGATCTCGGCTTCCCTGGGACCCCTCTGGGGAAGGTCACCACCCCCAAGTCAGTGAGGCACCCCTGCCCACCCGGCACTCTGTGTGGCACTCACTGTCCTTGTCCGTAGGCGGCTGCAGAGAGTAGAGGACACCTTGGGGACTGCTCGGCGAGAGGCCCGGGCTGCCCGCTGGGCCTGGGGGTCCTGGGGGACCGGGGCGCCCCATCTCTCCAGGAAGCCCACGGGGCCCGGGCGGTCCCAAGAGCCCTGCAGTGGGGGAGAGGAGTCACCGTGAGGGCGGGGCAGGTGCAGACAGGGACACTGAGGCCCTGCGGGGATGGCTGGCCAGGGTCACGTGGAGGAAGGCTCTGGGAGACCAAGGAGGAGCTCCTCCTTCCCAGCCCAGTGCAGAGGGGACGGGGGCAGCGGGGACAGAGGTGAGGGAGGCAGGGACAGCAGCACAAGCACAGACCCCAGCCAACGGGGTCCTCCAGGGAGCTCAGACACCAAGAGGGGCTCCCGACCTCGACCAGAGTCACCCCCCAGGGACTCGGGAGGAGACGAAGGTCCTAGAGGTTGCTTTGGTGGCCGAGAACAAGCCCCTGATTCTGGCACTGGCCACCCTCACCCAGGGTCCCTGCAGTCCCTCTCCTGACAGCCCAGGGTGTCCGACGGGGAGAGGACGGAGGAAAGAGCCCGGGCTCCTGGCGGGGCAGGGGACGCCTCTGCTGCCAGGGCAGGGGACGAATGACCCTTTCTTCCAGTGGACACAGGAGGGGTCCTTACCTGGAGGCCCCACTGGACCCTTCTCTCCTGCCTGGCCCCGGTCACCTTTGGAGCCCGGGGGACCTGCAGGCCCTGGTGGCCCAGTCTGCCCTGGGGGCCCTAGGAAAGAGGGAGACGAGGCCTGAGACTCGGGGCCCTGCATCCCGGTGTCTCCGAGCCTGACCACAGGGGGTGTGAGGTTTCGGTCAAGGTCACAGAGCCAGGTGTGGCTCAGGTCTCTGCACTCCAGGTCCTGTCCTCTTGCCCTACTATCTCCCTGCTCGAGGTCAAGTACAGGCTTGTGGTCTCCAGGCCCTGGGGCTGGACCAAAGTCGGGGGTGGACATGCTCTCTGGCCCCTTGTCCCTCTGGGCTTGCTGATTGGGTGGAAGGACTTGCTCTGCCTCTCGGTGCCCTTCCTGTTCCAGCTGCATGGTGACTCTGGGTGACTCTCTAGTCTGGGAGGAAGGGCTTGGGTGGGGGCTGCCGGCTCCTGGGAGCCCCACCTGCCTCCATTCCTGGGGCCAGCTGGGAGGACGCCCGGGTGCCACCATTTGTAGTGTGTGCCTGCCACCTTGTGGCCATTTCAGGAACTGCATGTTCCCTGGTGAGAAAGGCAGGGGCCTCCCAACACCCACCTAGAGGGCTTGGGGTCTGGGTCCGCTGAGGACGGAGGCCCCCTCCTCCTCAGTCCCAGAAGAATGAGGTCATGGGGCAGTGTCCTGGGCATGAGACCCTGGAGGCAGTGGCTCAGGGCGCAGGCCACCCAAGTGCGATGCCCCACCCTCCTCATGGAAGCCTGCCCGGGGCCACCTCCCACCAGCTCTGGCTCCTTTAGAAGGATGCAGGGCATCTGCTTCTCCCCAGGAAAGGCTGCTGGAAGCCACCTGCCCCACTTTTCTGGGGATCTGCCCTCCCTGTCCCTCTCCTGCATCCCTTGTCAGAATAAGGACAGAGGAGATGAAGGACAGGTGGGTGCCCAGAGCTGAGTTTGGGGGCTCGACTGGGAGAGGAGAGCGAGTGAGTGTGTTCCCTCCAAAGGGCTGAAGTGGGGCTGAGGCTCCTCATGGCAAAATGCTGGTGACCCAAGGCGAGTTACCTAACTTCTCTGAGCCTCGGTTTTCTCCTCTGTAACTAAGACTCACAAGCTTTGTGCACAGCTTAGAAAGGGAATCTGTCCTGCCTATGAAATACTCAGTAACCGGCACAGCGTGCACCCTGACCGTCACAGGGCCCCAGCCGTAGACCCCGGGTGCAGCCATATTGACAGGTGCTGGCTAAACATCACCCCAGGACACACCCCAGTGGAGTGCCCAGTCCTGAGCAGGCCTTTGACAACTGTCCCTGTGACCACAGCTGTTCTTATGCTCTACAGCCTGAGGGCAGAGCCGAGAGCTCAGGTAGAATCTGCAGAGGGGACGTTTTACCCTTGACTTTAAAGTAGGACAGGACAGGGTGACAGATGTCCTCCATTTCTGGCCTGAGAGGTCAGTGAAGACTCTCTGGGATGTGGGCAGGGCCTTTCACAAGATGGAGCTGACCAGGGATGGGCCGGGCTCTGAGGACAGTGGCTGGGCGGCAGGACAGTAAGGAGGGGTGGCAACTGCGGCAGACGGCAGAGTCCAGGCTGGGCCTCAGCAGCTGCCAGGTGCCTCCTCGGCCCCCACGGCCACGGCTCAGCTTTTCCAAGCGTCACCTGGGCTTGTTGGACGCTGAGGCCAACTTGGGGAGGTCCCTGGGGGCCCTTCCCAGGCCTCTGGGGCAGGCCAGCCCACCCCCACCCCCACCCCCGGCCATGCAGGCCGCACTCACCGGCTGGGCCCGTGGGCCTTCTCCTCTGGGGCCCCGGGTGAGCCAGGGGGATGGCGCCCGGGAGGAAGTCCTCACTCCAGGGCGGGGTGCTCTGCGGGGCGGGCAGGCCGTTGTCCGGGCCCGAGGGCTGCTCTGCTGCCTCCAGCAGGAGGACCTGACCAGGAAGGGCGGAGGGTCAGGCCCGCTGGCCACCAGGGATGTGTGTGCGCAGGGTCCTGTCCCACGGGACTGCAGCTGTCCCCTTCTGCAGTGGCTGGTGGTGACTCTTAGCAGGACCACCGATCCCTTTGTCCTTCCTCCCTGTTAGGAAGGACCCTGGACCCTTGGATGCAAGCAGGTGCCAACAGGTGCCCTCCAGAGCGCTGTGCCTTGCTCACCCCTTCCTGGGCAGTGCCCCAGGGGGGACAGTGTGTGTGCCTTTTGTCCCCACCACACCTGGCTGGGCCCATGAAGTGGCTGGCTGGGAAGATGGGTGGGGGAGGGGGAGGGGGAGGGGAAATGGGTGAAGGGAGGGGGAGGGGAGAGGGAGAGGAGGGGAGGGAGGGGGAGGGAATGGGGAGGGGTGAATGGTCCCACTTTGAGCATGGGCTCCAGGGTCCTATCCAGGGAGATGGGTGGCTGTAGCTCCTCAGGACTGGCCTGGAGCACAGCCCTGTACTCTGTCCTCGAGTCAAGGACAGCAGTGACCTGGGGTTTGGGGGGTGAACTTCCCCTTAAATCTCCTGGGAGCCAAGACTTAGGCCCCACAGTCCCTGCTGTCCCCAGGGAAGCCAGCAGGGGGCGCTGCGAGCCTGGGCTGGGAGCAGCAGCCAGGCGTCCTGAGAGCCCGGCACCCTCCAGGGTAGGGCCTAGGCAGAGGGGTGCTGCGGTGCTCACAGCGCTCAGGTTGGCTGGGCTGTCACAGGGTGCAGCCGTGGAGTAGCCCCCTGGGCAATTCAGCAAGTGGGGGCCCCTTCTCCCCACCCCCCAACCAGGGCCACTTCTCTTTCTGGTCCTTATAAGATCCCATGAGACAAGGTCGCTGGTCACGTCGCGCATGAAGTGGAAACAGAAGCTCAGAAAAGGCAAGTGACTTGCCAAGGTCACACAGGGAGGGCCGAGGGACCCAGTGCCTCCCCCACCAGACCACAGATTGTCCCACTCACGGCTCAGCCACCGCCTGGCCAAGCTTCATGGAGTCACCAAGTAGGGAGCAGCTTGCTGAGCTCAGGGTGGACCCTGGGCTCCTGGCCCCGGGACCCCCCCAAAGCAGAAAGGGGCTCCAACTGCTGAGCACCGTTGGCCGGTCAGCCAAGGCCAAGGTCGGGCTCTACGGAGAAGCCAGGCAAGTGGCAGGAAGGCCAGGGCCGTGGGTGGCAGGAGGTGGATCAGGGCAGCTGTGTGAGGGCAGGAACAGGGGACGGATGGGCCAGGACAGTGGGCAAAGGCTGCTCCCCCATTGGTGCCCTGCTGCTGGGGACAGCAGGACGTCCACTCAGCAGACAGGGTAGGCCGGGGGTGCCAGGGACAAGCACAGTCAGGGTGGGCTGAGTGGCAGCGTCCTGGGGGGACCTGAGGGTTGGTGCCAAGATGGAGCCACCTGAGGGGGACACAGACAAAGGGCAGTGGAGGGAGGTGGCACTGGGGGTTCTGGGGATGGGGTGGCCCTGGTGTCCTTGGTACTGGCTCCAGCCGCTGTCCCAGCAGTCTGGCCTGGATGGCCCCCTTCCTGAACTCCTCTCCCCTGGCTCCGCCAGCCACAGAGCACAGACCTGGGCAGCAGAGTCTGGGCCTCAGCCAAGTGAGAATGAGGTCCAGCCAGAGCCCAGGGCCCCTGGCCCGGGGGTGGCCACCCTCCTAGAGAAGCCATCTCGTCCCTGCCCTGTATGAGCTCACCGAGCGGGTGGCAGTGGGTGTGGGGACTCAGCCCAGAAAAACCAGACCCGGCCCGGGGAGCAGAGACCCTGGTGACGTCACTGCGGCCCAGCTGCCTGGCCAGGCCACCGCCCTCCTACACAGAGCCTGGCTGAGCTCTGAGACAGCTGTGGCCCCCACGGAGGGAAGTCCCTTCATGTGGTCCATGAGGTCAGGCTGTAAATTGCGGGGGAGGTGTGGACGAGGGCTGGCACCGCCCAGGGCCCTGCAGCCTTCTCGGGACAAGCAGGTGGCGGGAAGTGAAGACGAGGTGGACCCTGATGGCTGCCTGGCCCCCAGCTGCCCCTTCTTCCCTTGCTCCAGAATGTCCACCTGTGTGTGTATGTGGCCCAGAGGAGGAAGCATGACTGGCCCCAACCAGTTACAACAATCCTCTTCTGCTTGGTCGGGTACTCAATTTCCAGTTCCCTTGCAACTATGAGGTGGTCTTACAGCCAGCCCAACGCTGGTCCATGGAACATAATGAGTCTTTGGGGGTGCCTTGTCTCGCTGTCCACTTCCTGCCTTTTAACATTGAGCTGCAGCAGCCACTTTGTAACTATGAGACACCAAATGTGAAGACAAAAACCCATTCTTTAAGGAAGTGTGGGTGGGGCAGAGTCCATGAAGAGCCTGGTTTCCAAGCCTCAGAGACAGACCTGAGGCCACCTGCTCCTGGGCTCCCTGTGGAACAAACATCCTTATGGAATAAGCTACCACTGGCTGTTCTCGGTCACGTGTGTCCTTTCTGACACCCAGATGTGCCTTGTCTGAAGCAGCAGGAGCCCCAGTCTCCAGGCCTCAAGGTCATGGGTCTCTTGGGACAGCCACCTGCCTCCTGGCTCCGGACCCCTGTCTGTGGTCTTCCTGCCTGGAGGCTGCCCTGGGCCCAGCGGGGATGTGAGACGGGTCGCAGCTGGGGAATCCAGCAACTGTCTGGAGGAGGACCACTGTGGGGCTGGGCCCCTCTCCCTGGCCCACCTCTGCACGCTCTCCCTGGCCCCCACCAAGAGCTGTCCACCCTGGACCTGCCTCACAGTGACCTGGGGGGCAGGGAGGTGGCTCCAGCCTCCCTGGTCCCAGCAGGGACCCAGAGCGGGGGGTTGCCAAGGCGAGGGGCTGCTGGGACAGAGGACCTGGCTCCTCCTTGACCCCTCCTCTGTCCCTGCCACCAGCTCCGAGGGTCACAGAGCCCCCTGCCCTGCCCTGCCCTGGGGCGCTGGGCCTGGGGCAGGGGTGTCAGGCTGGGAGGGCCCCAGGACGCTCATGGCAGGGGCAGGGTGGGGGCCAGGTGGGAGGGACCTGCTGGCTCAGCGCCAGGCCCCTGAAAACTGTGACTTCTAACACCCGAAGGCGGGGCGGGGCCAGGCTGGCCGCCAACTCTCCTCTGTGCCCAAACACCGAGGTGTCAGGCGTGGAAACTGTCCTCCAGGCCAGCCCCACCTGCCCTGGAGTCCAGCGCCAGGTCCCCCGCGTCCTCCCACTGTCCTCATAGCCCATCTGGGGCTGACCCGGGCCTGGATCCCTGGAGCCCCAGCCCCTGAGTGCTACTGTCCCCCAGGAGGGCAGCCTGTCACCCCCACCACTGGGCCTGCACCTGGGGGCCTGCTGGCCTGCAGAGGGCATGGGACACAGCAGCTGTGAGTGGCCTGGGATCCCTCATGTCCTGCGCTGACCCCCATGAGTGCAGGCGCCGCTGACTGCAGGTCCCTAGTGGTCACTCCAGCCCCCGCCAGCTGGTCCTGCCCAGTTCCCTCCTGGCCTCGCTCCTGCCCCGGCCTCTGCAGGGCCAGGCCACCTCGGTAGTCCCCACTGCTCCAAGAGGCCCCACGGAACGTGGAGGCGGCCTCAGCTGTGTCCCCCGGGCCTGTCCTCTCCAGGTCCCTCTAGCTAATCACCAATGCCTGCTTTAGAGGCTGCCATGTGTGGAGGGGCCAGGGCAGGTGCTGCTGGTTTGCCCCACGGACGCCCTGGCCACACAGGCTGGGGTTTCTGGCTGCGGGCACCTGTGACTCTGCCCAGCCCCTTCTGTGGCCACAGGAACGTACTCAGCAGGTGGGCAGAGGTGGGCAGGCCGGAGGGTCAGGGACTAACGCTGCCGAGGAGCCTCCGGTGCAGACAGGAGAGGCTGCCTGGCCTCACCCTCCGGAGCGGGCGGCTCCAACACACAGCCCCCACCTGGCTGAGTGGCAGGTGCCCCACGGGTGGCCCACGATGTCCTGAGCACACTCCCTCCATCCCCACCCAGCGGTGCTACGGCCACTCCCAAACAAAGCTCTAGCTCTTGACAGAGTCCCTCTGACCCTGGGGACCCACCCAGGACCAGCCCGGGTCCCTGGGTGCCCCACTGAAGGCGGGCAGCTCTGCCCACTCCCCTGTGCCCAGCCCAGGGCAGGCAGTGGGCAGAGGGGGCAGAGCCGGCGCTGGGAACCGCCGCTGGGAGAGGCAGCCACACTGCCCTGACCTCCGGGGTCCACCCGGCAGCCCCAGGGTCTGGGGCTCTGTGCCACTCGTGCTGCCAACACCCAGCCTGCTGCCTGGGACCTTGCCTCCCCCTCCCTTCCCAGGAGGCTCCAGCCCAAGCAGGTTCCCCGGGGCCACCCAGCAGCACCCAGGGGCTAGGTCCGTGCTGCTCAGGCTGCTGGGCTCCTGGGCTGGGTCCGCCTCGCCACACCCAGCAAGTGCCCGCGTTGCTGCGCCCCCCCTCCCTCCCAGCTCCCCGCGCCCAGGCTCCCCGCTCTCCGACCTTGGCCTCCAGTGTGGTCAGCCGCTCACTCATGTCACTCAGCCGGGTACAGTTCATGCATTCTGAAAGACAAGGGGAACCAAAGGTCAGAACGTGGACCCTGGGGAGGGGGCAGCCAGGCCCAGGGCAGCCTCTGCAGTCAGGCAGGGAAGCCTGGAAAACTCCTACTCGACCTTCGGAGCCTTCTGCTCAGGGCCCCTCCTCCATGCAACCTGCCAGACCTGAGCCCCCGGCACATCGTGCCATCACTGCACAGTGTCTGCTCTGGGCCAGGAACCGAGCAGCACAGGGGACACCGCAGCCTGTGGGTGCCACAGGGTGAGGGTCTTGGTCTCGGGGGCCAACACAATATCTGATCACAGAAGGGTAAATGGTAACCGTCTGGGGAACGAGCTGAGCCGGCAGACTCACTAGGACAGAAGGATCTGGGTACATCACGGGGACGGCACGTTGAGGCCAGCATGGATGGGGTCAGACAGGGAGGACATTCTGAGGGGAGGCAGCTCAGGGGAGGCCTGAGAGCCGCACGGTGGTGGCCAGATTCAGCGAGGACAGGGCAGAGTCCGCAGCCCACACACTGCGGACCACTGAGACCCAGGAGGTGCCCGGGGCCCTAACGCCCAGGCACAGCAGTGCCCAGGAGCCAGCGGGGGGTGCTGGAGGGTTTGGGCAGGTGAAAGGCCAGATGTGCATGCCGGAAGCTCACCCTGAGCCCTGTGTCCACGGGGCAGGAGCTTCCTGGGCTGCAATTATGTATCAACGTCTGTTTACCTGTCCTGGGCAGACAGAGGGTTCAAGGCGGCTCTGAAGAGCGTGTGTTGCCCTGGAACTCAAGGGTGGCCTCGTGTCCTCTCTGTCCTCCCTACAGTTCAAAGCCTGACTCTGGGGGACCCCCTTCTGCTCCTAAACAGACTCCCAGCAGCTCTCAAGGCCTTCGGGTGGGGCAGCAGGTCCCCCGTGGCCTGTGGGGGCCACAGACATAGGTTGCTTGGCCTCTTGCTGCCACCGTCCACGGGACCTTGGACTCCTGTTTGGGACCTTATTAACTTCCTTGCTCTGAAATGGACCCCCACGAGGGGTCCTGGGGCCATAAAAAGGGGTGGTACAGATTGTATCCTCCAGGGATGTCCAGCCTCCGGGCAAGAGGAGGACATCGGCCTGCCGTCCCCCCAACCCTACCTGATCTCCGGGAAGGAGCCCTGAGAGCTCCAGGGGACCCCCGCACCCCTCCCTTCTGCCCTTGTCTGTACCAAATTAGTGGTTTATAAGCATTTTCTGGGAATAAAACTCTCCCCTCCCCTCATAAAACCTTGTCAGCAACCCCGATACATAAAACAGATTAAAGACTGAGGTATAAACACTGAACAGGGAAACAACTAGAGGAATGTATACAGTTGTCTGATGCCAGGATCAGAAGGGACTTTAAAAAGGACACGCAGTGGGAGTGGGGGTGGGGGTGGTCTTCTGATTTAACATGGTGGATTGAACACACATGTTCCCCTCTGGTCCTTCCCAGGACTGTGAGGTAAAGAAATCAAAAGTAGAAAATCCACCAGCACAAGAGAAAGACAGCGCAGGGTTCCCCTCAGCAAAGGAACCGTCAGGCACGCGCACCTGGGATCCCGGGGGGCTCGGGAGGCCGAGGCTGGAGGACCGTGTTCAAAGCCAGCCTCAGCAACTTAGCAGGCTCTGAGCAACTCAATGAGACCCTGTCTCTAAATAAAATTTGAGAAAGGGCTGGGGATGTGGCTCAGTGGTTAAAGCACCCCTGGGTTCCATCCCTGGTACCAAAGAAAAAAAAAGATTCAAAGGACAAAAATTTTGCAAGATGGAGTGCATCAGGCGCCCAGACCCAGGCTAGCAAAACTGAGGAGGGATGGGAGGTGGGAACCACTGGGCCCTCCTGAGGCTGGGGAAGCCCCAGGTGGAGAGGGGAGAGGTCCTCTCTGGGGAATAGAGACCTTTCCCCAGAGGAAACGCCTGTAGAAGTGACATTCGGAGAGACCTCTGACACAACAGCTGAGTCTCAAGAGACAGCCTCCATGGGTCATGGTCACCAAGGCCCTGGCACGTGGCTCTCGGTGTGTTCCTCTCACATTCCTGCAGCCAGGCAGGAGCCAGGCGGGGTGGCACACACCCGTCATCCCAGGCACTCGGGAGGCTGAGGCCAGAGGATCGCAAGTTCAAAGGCCAGTCTGGGCAACTTAGCAAGACCCGGTCCCAAAATTTTAAACAAGGCAGGGGGTTGGGCTGGGGGTGTGGTTAAGTCAAAAGCAACCCCAGGTTCAGTCCTCAGTAGAAGGGAGGAAAAGACCCTTAATGGGGACAGGCAGGGTTCAAAAGGAGCAGGGTCCCATTGCCTACCCACCCATTCCCATCCAACCACCCCAGTGCCCCCCCAACCACCCCCTTCAGTCACCTGGAGGTCCCATGGATGTTCAAGAAGCCCTCTGGGGCCCTGTGTCAGCATGGAGGGGTGACAGGTCGGCAGAGCCAGGTGCCTACTCTCAGGGGCTGTCTCTTTGGGGAGCAGAGGTTCACGAACCCCCCCAGCAGCCTCATCTTTCTGGGCAGCCTGGTGACGCTGTAGCTGGGCCGCAGCCTGCCCTGCCCACACCCCTGGGCCAGCAGGAAGGAGGCCACGGTGGATGTGGGAGGTGGAAGCTGGAGCCAGGCAGGTCCACCCGGGCGGGGCACAGGGCAAACCACCCATTCTGGAGGCCTTTAGGGGTTGTTTCCAGGGTCTTAGGCAACAAACAGGACCCCCTGCAGGGGGCAGGTCAGTGGAGGGAGGGGGCCTTGGGCTTTTTCTGGAAAGTGCTCTGGGCAGGGGCCCAGTTGGTTCTGGCACCCGGCGGCCTGCTTGGCAGGTGAGGAGCAGTTGGCTGTCAGCAGGCACAGAGGGGCCAGCTCCCCAGCCTCAGCGAGGCCCAGGAGGCCCAGCTCAGCCTCCCCATGCCACCCGCCTGGGCAGGCGCTCCAGATCCGAAAGGTTTACGGCTCCCCTGGCATCTGCCACCGACAGGCAATTAAAGCCTGTTTTTTGTTTTAACTTTCTCTAATTAGTCGTTGGAGCCACGGAAACATGGAGAGGGCGCAGGTGGGGCCGAACCCGCCCCCGGCTCTGGGACAGGCAAGGCCCTCCCAGTGGCTCAGGCCTCAGTTCCCTTGCCTTAATGGGGGCTCTCACTTGCTGGGATTCTGAGGTCCCCAAGTTCCCCCAGCAGCTTCCGGAGCACAGGTGGGTCCCTGGGCACCTGGCAGTACAGGACGCTTCCTGGGGTCCAGAAGGCACAGAGATGGGGGGTGGGGGGCTTTGCCAATTGTGTATATCAGAAATTTGGAGGGCTGACCAGTGTGTGTGAGTGTGTGTGTGTGTGTGTGTGTGTGGCACAGATAGAGAGAGAGAGAGGGGGAGGGGCGTGGTCAGTGGAAAGAGCCGCGGAGGCCTGGTGCAGGCTGACTTACTTGTGGCTTGGGGAGCCCCTGCCTGGGGCCCACCTCAGCTCCCCATCTGTAAAAGGGTCTCCACCGGATCAGCTCCAGGCCTCTGGCCTCGGGGTCCTGGGCTCCTGCCACCTGTGCCCTGGTCCTCAACCTCTCACCCCCAGTCTGGGCCCACCCCTGGCGGGACAGTGCTGCCAGCTCGCCTGCTGTTGGCCTGCTGCGGCCACGCGGGCTCCGCTCCTGGAGCTCAGGACCCACCTTCACCATGAGACTGGACTCCTGAGCCTGGGCCTAGAGAGGGGCTCCGGCTGCCTCAGGGAACCAGGGAAGCCTCTGTCCCGGGACACCAAGGCCATGACCCTGATGGGGCAGCCAGGGTGCACTGTGGCTTTGTCCCCAGAGGCCAGTTCTCTCTGTGAGAGGTCGCTGGGGGAGGTCTGCAGGTGGGGGGTGCATGTAGGATGGTGTCACTAGCAGGAGACCTCAAGCTGGGTCCAGCTAAAGGAGATCCTTAAAATTGCGGAGACTCCAGCTACACCACACCCTTCCCATTGGGCCACACCCCTTCAGCTGTGCCATACCCCTCCAGCTATGCCACACCCTCCCCATTGGGCCACACCCCTCCAGCTATGCCACACCCCTTCCATTGGGCCACACCCCTCCAGCTATGCCACCTCCTTCCCATTGGGCCACATCCCTCTAACTATGCTATGACTCTTCCCATTGGGCCTTGGCCACACTCCTCTGCTGGGCCACGCCCCTTTCTTCCCTGAATTTCGCCCAGTCTCCAAGCCCCGAGACATGCAGTTCTTCCCTCAGGACCGTCCTATTCCCTGCCTCCTTCTTTGTCTCACAGTCCATCCTCATCCTTGAAAACATAGCCAGAAAAATGCTACGGAGAACAGGAGGGTGGCTCGGGCCACCATGGCCATCTCTGAGGAGAATGGCTGGACTCCCATTACTACACTCAGGGAAGGAGGAAGCCGCAGAGCAGGGCGGTGTCAGGGCTGCGTTACTGCAGGAGAGGAGTGGGGGGAGGAAAGCATCTCGGTGCTCTGGCCACCTTCTCACTCCAGTGTGAATTCAGCAGCGCTGTAATCAGCACCAGGGGTCCCCAGCACTCTTGCTCCAAGTGGCCCCCAGAGAGCTGCAGCGAAGCTCCGCCACACCCTCACGGCCATAGGATTCCTCTCTGGGGAACCTGAGTGGCCCAGGAGAGAAGATCTAGAGATGCCCTGACTCTGGGGTCAGAAGCCTCTGCGAGGAGCCCATGGAAGACAGGCCTGCCTTGTCCACGGAGTTCAGGTCCCAGCGACTTCCACAGGAGCAGACAAGGAGACAAGGGAGATAAGGACCAGAACAGCCGAGGACAACACAGAGAGAAAGCAAACTCCAGAGGATGAGTGGATAGAAGAAAACTGAAAAAACAAACAAACTCAAAAACAAACAATCTCAAAAACCACACTCAAAAACAACAATGAGAAGATCACAACTGTATTTGGTATCCTTAGAGAAAAAGAAGAGATGGCATCCTTGGAACCACAGGAACTGTTTGGAAAGAACTTTCAAAAACCAAAGGTGCACTTTCAGGGGGAAAAAAAATACTGATCTAGAA